CGACCGAGCAAGTAGTGACAGAAGGGCAGCAGGCACCAGTACCGACAAAACCATCAAGGACAAGCAGTAGACGTACGGACCAAAAACTGGGCCTAGAGCGACGGCAACGGAACCGTCCGCGGGACGGCACCCGACGAAGACAACATGCACCGGACGGCACCGGGCATGAACCAAGGCAATGTGGACGGCATCGCACACCAAACAAAGGCACACGTCAAAGAGAAACAAAACACCGTCCTGGAAGTCAACGCCGGAGCTCCTTGGAACGGTCCGACCGGTCGGGAGCCTCAGCTTCCCTTTTCGGCAAACGCCGTCCCGAACCTCGGCCCCTTCCCTTGTGCAGAAGGAAGTCTGCCACTTTCCGGTGTACTCCGGCAGCCATGTACGGCGCTGGTCGCATGCTCAGCTTTCCCAAATCAATGTTCGCACGTGGCTTGTCCAGACTCGCGGTTTCGAACGACCAGCGCGATAGGCCACGCCTTTCCATCTTGCGCGGACCCGTGTTGCGCTGCTTCGACAGCAGGACTCGACTGGAGCAGGGGTACCAACGCCTCTTCGCTCGCAGGAGCAGTGGGACCAGAAGACATAGCATCTTTAACGTAGTCCAAGAACTCGGTGTAAACTTGAAGTTTCCAAGGGCTGGGCTTCTCCTTGGGATGCTGCGGAGGCAACGCGGAGTTCCTCTTCCACGTGGCCCACTTCTGTTCCAAACGGGCTTTGGGGTCCCCTTGCACGAAATAGACCAAGGAACGCCGCGAGCTCTCGTTACCGACACAAAATGGCAGGGGCTGGGGCAGCGGTGGTCTTAAGTCTGCACTCCAGCTGGTCGAGGCGCTCAGAGACTGTCGTGTCGTCGTCATCCCGGCGGTCACCCCGATGGGCCTCGAGCACGCTGTCCTCACGATGCTCCCCCACGATCACGCTCGCGAGGACGGTCGCCGCCCACGCCATGCCAGTACTACTCAGTCTAGACAAGACACAAATCACACTAGCAAAAACTCGGTCCAAGACACTACCGCAGACAGAAGCAGATCACTGAATGTGCTTGCTTCAAGATGATGCATGCGGAAGCTCTGTGTAGATGTGCGTGTACCTGCTCTACACCACGGTCACGGAGGCAATAGGCACACGTGATGGGCAACATGTCATGGTTCAGAGGATGAGCGCTGCTCATATGCATCCGTACCGAGTCACGGCCTGGGAAACATGCACCGCACTGCGGACAAATGTACGGAGGGGCTTCAGCGTCATGGAGCTTAAGATGACTTGTCATCGCACTTTCTCTCTGAAATGAGCGACATCAGTGCGGACAATCCCAACCAGCTTCCCGGAAAGTACTACCCCGATGTGACAAAATAACATGGTGCCCTACGCCGCTTCTCGTGGTGTACTGGTGTGTACATCCTGCTAAACCTCGCACCCTCCCTGTTGCTGTACTCCCTACTCAACCAGTTACGGGCACGCATACGTGGAGCTACAGGCGCCGGTGGTGGATCGAGGGCAGAAGGCACAGGGTTGTTTTGCCACGAATTCGTCGACGAGCGGGCCGCGTGTTCGGATTTAGCAGTGATTGCTGCTCCAGCCGTGCGGTTAGGTGATTATGACCTGCAGCCAGAGCCTGGGCGATAAGACCAACAAAGCGCAATAAACAGAGGTCCAGCTCATGAACAATGTGTTCTTCCCATGGGTCTGTATCCATTACAGTCGCAAAAACATCGTCAAAATCCGCTGACGCAGAGATGCAGCTTGTTGTGCAAAAGCATCCACTAACGGAAGGCCGCCTATGCCCTGCGCCTCGTGCTTGAAAAAACCAGTTGCAGGAGTTTTTTGAGCATCAATCCAGTTTTGAGCACGAGCGATAGCAGCAGCAAGGCTTTTGTCCACAATATCTGGGCTACGGCTACGGCTCAAAATGGCCTTGCTCTTTTTGTCACGGCACGGAGGCGCAGCACTTTGTTTTGGTCGATGTGCCTTAAACCATAGAGCTACTCGACGTGCGAAAAGCTTCCAATCACGCCCTTGATTTTGCGCGGCAAGTTGCATCCACGAGCTCAGCGCGATATCACCTGCACGCAACGCCTCTACCAACGTTTGACGGTACCACTTACCCTTTATGGATTTATAGACGACACGGAGGCCGCTGCGTACCTACAGAATCAGGAAGGAAAGCGCTGGTATTGCGTTTCGGCAACCTGTGCACCGGCATACGTGCAACATGCCCCAACCACCGAAGTTGCGCTTGAGTGATGAGACCAACGACATCCGGAATGCCCAACCATGGTCGTAACATATCACTGTGCACATGCCACAATTGCTGTTGCCAACGAGTTATTCGGGATATGACACGCAGACACATCATAATAAACCCACGGAGCTTCCGCCGTGTTTGAAACGTGCTAATCCATGTCTCGCAACCATACAGCAAAGTGGTTATCACGTTTGCCCTAAACACAAACATCTTCGTGGACAGCGACAGCTCCTGTACGTACCAGACTGTCCGTGCGGCGAGCCCCGAGAAAGCCTTACGTGCACTGTTTATGTTGCTGATCAAATTGATGGTGCAGTCTCCCTCAAACTTGATGTCACCCAGGTGCTCAAAAGTCTGTTCAAACTGAACGTGATCAAAGCCATCATGCTCCAAAACTGGAAGAGGGGAATGTTGTGGTTGTGTAGTACACAGTGCTTTCGTTTTTCCACCGACAGAATCAGCCCCCAAGAAGAAACATGCAACTGGAACTCCTGCGTTAAACGGCGCAACATATCATAGCAGTCAGCCAGAAGAGAGATCATCAGCATGTCCAAGTTTCGCCAGGTCACACGGTTCAAAGGAGCCATATTTATGGAGGCTCTGCCAGCGAAGAATGCCATCAACCCTGGTGCCCCACTTTAAACGCCTCCCCTCCACTACACGCCACTGCTCTAGAACGGCAGCAAAGAAAATAAAGTTGCGCAACACAACACCCTTGACCCAACCCCGCTTGCAGCCGGAACTCGTTCGTTAATTCCCCTACAGCAGAGACACGAACCGCCTTATCCTCATATAAGCACTATAAGAGCGACACGATATGGGACGGGATGCCTTTGATAAGTAACACCTTCCGTAAACCAGTCTGTCATATGCTGCAACCAAGTCCACAAACACCACATACAACGGGTGATCCTTAGTTCGGGAGAGCTCCTGAGCCATACGTAGTACGAATACCGCTTCGGCCAGCCCGGAAACCAGCTTGAGTCTCCGGCATCAGATCATTGGCCTCTGCATGACGACACAGACGTGCAGTTAGTATCTTGCCAAAGACCTTGCCTGCACAGGAGGCCAACAAAATCCCACACCACCGTTTGCAGTGCGTAAGATCCCCTTTCTTTGGCAGTGGTGCCAAAAAGTTGTCCAACCATTCATCGGGCATTGGAGCCAGCCCATGCCACGCGCGAGAAATATGCTCAAGTAGAACACGCAGGTTCACCACATCAAGGCGCTTGAGGACCTGCGGGTGCAACCCGTCTGGACCCGCGGCCTTTCCGTTTTTCAGCTTATGCACCGCCGTAACTATACCTCTGTTGCCTCCATCGACACCGGGACCCTGCACAGAAAATCGAAATTATACTCCTTACAGTGTCCTTGGGCATTCAACAAGTCATAAAAATACTCATACCACCGCTCAAACGGTGGGGTTTAGTGACAAGAAACTGACCCTTCGCATTCCTTAGTTTGTTTGGCCACCGACGATGAAATAACACATCCTTGAGCTCGCGCTGCCCTGCATAGACCGCATGAGGTTCCTTATTATCGACCTGCTCCTGCATTGCTGCCGCCTTGTTCTCCCACCAACATTTCATAATGGAGCGGACTTCCCGCCGTTACGACTGAGTTCGCCCAGACATACTGCCACTGGGGCAGTTTGACCACTGTAGGCAGACCAACCTGTTCCTCAGCAAAACGACGAAGACCATATGACCAAAGCTCGTATTGTGTGGAGAAATTGCGAAAAGCCAGGAACCCCTGAGAGTTGTAAGTGCGTGGCCCTGGTGTGGGTAAGTCTGAAAAGCAACGTGCCCACAAAGCGTGCCTTCGTTTGCCACACCCTAAACCATGAACTCTAAGCCCCTAAAACCCATATATCATATACCCCGTTATGCTGTTAAGACCTTCGAGCGTAGAAGGACTCTCACCGGCCAGCCGGCGCAAGCAGCGCGAACATGTGCAATGAAGCGCTGTCTCCGAAGGTCCGACGCCCTACGGTTGATGGTAGTGTATAAATCACCTAGAATAAGGACTAGACCAGAGTTCCCATAGTTTAGGGTCCGTAAGGTGATGCAGGATTTATGTCATCAACCGTCGTCGTGGAGGGGCCTTAATGATTTCTCTAGGGTCTATGTAAACGTTCCTTTGCTGGGGGCTTACAAGGGCTACCAAAAGGGTTTAGAACAAGGCCTTAAAGATTTCAAGAGGGCTTTGGGGTGTGATAACAAGGAACCCTAGGGAATATTATTACTGACTGCTCAAGCCTTTTGAACTATACGCCAAGAAAAGTCCAATTGAACCCCTAATCTACAACTGATGAAGAAGGAGAGTACGAATTCCACGTGCCCAGATCGACCCTAGTCCGAAGCCCTACATGATAGCAGGAGCAAAACACCCCAGGATAGTTGTAGCAAAGCTCACACGCAAAAGTGGCGTAAGTATTCAGCATCGCAATGGGACAAACAGATAACCCCTTTATACTCTACATAGTGTGAACCCTTAGCATCCTAGGAGCAGCAGAGCCTCAGAAGCACTAAGCGCCCTGATCCAGGCCCCTGGATCCAAGTTGGATCCTGTTTGCCGGGCACAAAAGGTCGGTCGGGGGCCCAGAGAATGGCCCTGGAAGCCTCCCGGATATCCCAAGATATGCCATGGGAGCAGCCATAGACACTTAACTAGACCCGGGTTCAGGGTTTAGGGTTTAGGTTTAGGGTTTAGAAGATCTTGGGCCCTCCGGAACTCGTTCCCGGTCACATCCTCAACTGATGAAGGGCCTCAGTTTCAAGCAGTGGAATTGTTCAAAAAGGGTCTCTGCAGGAGTATTAAGGGTTTAGTACAGGGCAGTATTGATTGGAATATGGGTTCTGCGTCTTTTCTAGTGAAATATAGAACAGTCAAAGACCATAAGGGATCCTGCAATACCTCACAACGTGTCAGAAACCGAGAACTTGAAGCCTTGATGGTGTACCTTGGACCCCAAACCCTGAACAAAGTAACATGTATGAGTGAATACCGGAGATTAGAGTTTCGACTGTGATCAGTCTAACGTGGAGGCCTTGCAACATCCCCTTACTGGGTAAGGAACCTAATTTAAATTTCTATAAAAGGCATCTATAGTAAATAATACGGCTTCCTGTTATGGTAACAGAACTAGATTCCTGAAGCCCTTATAGAACCCCCTTAAAAAACTGTAACAGGAGCCCGGCTGACCCCAAAACCCTGTTACAGCTTGGAGGTTCATGGGTAGTTAAGGCATAGAACATGCAGTTTCAAAACCAAGACAAGTGCAAGGCGTAATTTGTTGGAGGCGCGGGCAGGGTAGGGGGGTTTTTGGCCAAGGCAATCTGGAACTCGATGGCTACCTACCGGACGAAACCTGATATTGCAGCCCTCTAGGCCCCATGCATGACAATGTACAGGATCAGAGCTGCGACGCAAGTGCCTGGCTTGCAAAACCCTCAGGGCCTGAACCCAAAAGGCCTCGCCATAACCATAAGCCCTAAACCTGAACCCCCAAACCCTGAACCGTACTCTGCATGTTTGTTTGTATGTGTGTGTGTGTGTTTTTCTTCAGGGCCCAGTTTGGTGGACTAAGGGTGAGCTGAGTTTTGCGGGGCACCACGGCGCACCTGTGTGCCAGTTTGTGTTGCAAACTATGGCTTCTGTGGGTGACCATTCAACAGGAGACTCATAAAGCTATCGCTCCCTGAAGCGGACGCCACGAACTTGGAAGAACTGCTGGTGAATCATGGCGGCAGCACCGCAAATGGCCTTGATCTTGAGGTTCCGGCACTGGATCTGCGAAACAGAAGCGAAGGCACTTGCTTCACCTCTTTGAGATTCTGCCAAAGACGACCAAGATGGGAATTGGGCGTGTTCGGAGTAGGAGTGTAGGGTTTCACCGAGTCCACACCGGTCAAGCCTCTGACCCAAACTACCTACTACGTACACCCCAAACCCCATCAGCCTAACTGCCAAAACCATGAAACCCCTACCCCGACCCTGTGCCACATGAGCCGGGCAACACCCCACACGCTAAGCCTGAACTTTCAGAACGTGCGTGGCGCAGACCAACACCCAAGCTTGGGGGGGTTTGGGGGGTTTAGGGTTTTGGGGTTTAGGGGTTTGGGGTTCAGAGGTTTAGGGGGTTCAAGCCTGACGTCGCAAATCCACACTCTGCTTCAAGAACTTGTTGGCCTGGGACGCAAGATCTGGGATGTGCTTCGGTTTAGGGGTTGAGGGTTTAAGGGTTAGGACGGTTTGCAGTTTCGGGTATCACTAGCAACAGCAAGCACCATGACAAGGACAGCCATGGGAGGCATAAGAGTAATCGTAGGAAGAGGAACCGCAGCAAAAAACACAATGCACTGCTCGTGATCCTGCTTTAAGCAAGACGACTGATGATAACGTGATGGCATTGACTTTTGCCATGATGTTCTGTTCGACATCATCAGCACGTTGGTCGAAGAAAATCAGCAAGGATCACTCACAAAAGTGCCACTACGTTTCATCACCGTCACTGCTTCCGTCATTCATCCTCTCTTTTGAAGCAGACGACCGTTCAGAAGCCCCACACTTGCCCCTGCAAGGGCAAGGATCTGAATTTGGCTTGGAAGCGATATCGCTTTACAGTCTCCGGTCTTGCGGCTAGGGTCCCGGGTTTTGTGTCTAGCATCTGAGCTTGATGCCTGCGAACTCATTGAGGAGCTGGAATTCCTTGGAACGGGATGGGGCTGTTGGGGCTGCGGGCTGTTGGGGCCGCGTTTTAGCTGCAAACTTGGCCGCGGAACCACCGGCGACGACCATTCGCTGCAATAACTTCAGCACCATGAATCAACAAAAAGATCAGAAAGCACTACTGGTGCTGCCCCGTTCAACGCTTGCATCCACAGGTTGCAAATATGCATTGCTACCACAATTGCGACAAGCGGAGCTGTTGTAATTGTAGCTGCTAAGGCCCCATACTCGCAGCTTTCAGAAGGAGACCCAAACCATATACTTGCCATGTCCCCAGGCCTGAGGCTTACAGTGCATTTGGGTTTAGGGTCCGTTGGGCCTCACGATGTAGGGCATGTCGGGGTTGTTGAAGGATTTTGGATGGAGATACTGCTAAGCGAAGCACCGCAGAAAGGCACTCAAATTCAGCACTCACCAGACGAAGGCCTAGCCATCTAGCAGTGCCTTCTGCGTAGTTGTTTGGAATGGTACTGAGTACCAGGTACTCACCCGTCACCCTCAAAGCAAGCGTCAAGATCTGTACTCGTGCCACAAGCACTCACCCTGAACCCTAAACCCTAGACCCTGACCGCAAGCTCACTAAGCAGCGGGACGCCCTTCTGCCCAGGTGGAGCGGAGAATTCACAAGGTAAAGTGAGGGCCATCATAGTTACAAGAGGGTTTGGGGGTAGAGTGCATGTTACCTGTAAGGAACCCTAGGGATAAGATACCTAGCTAAACAAATGCAGCCCCCTGAAGTATCCAACTGCTGAGGTCGGATCTCCAGAGACTCTAGCGTCACATGGGTCTCCAGGATCTTCTTTACATTGTCCTGGCGCTTGGAAAAACACCCTGAGAGTCGCTGTGGGGTTTCAGGTGTCAGGTAAGGTGTCGGATGAGGACAATAAACCCCTAATCTCCTAAACCCTAAACCCCTAAACCCTAAACCCCCAAACCCCAAACCTAAACCCAGCTTTGCTGGAGGGTTTAGGACTCTCGGAGAGCTTGGGGGATTTGCAAGGCTTGGAGCATCTTCTTGGACGCCCGGGGGGGGGGTCTGGCTTCCGGCGCTTTGCATTTCAGGGTTTAGGGTTTCGGGGTTTAGGGGCTTTGGGTTTAGGGGTCTAGGGTTTAGGGTTTCGTGGTTT